TCAAACAGGCTTCTGAAGTGGTGCACATGATTGGCGGCCTACGTATTAACGTGATGTCAGTAACACCCAGGTTCAACACAACAGCTGTTACAATGAATCAACATCAAGCTGTACCATGTAATTCCGACACGAAAAAATCACCTAAATTCCTAGACTGTTATGGTGTGCACCGTTCCATAAGAATAACGCAAAAGATATTTCCATGCCGGTAATTCCATGTTGGTAATTCCATGTTGGGATTTGGAAATATCCCGTCGTGAACACATCGTGTATTTCATATACCAATCAGAAACAACCGTAACAATATTATCGGCATAACATGAGGCAGATTTACGGCAATAATTATGTCCATATCACGCATCAGTTTTAGTACCCTGTAACACAGTTCAACAGTCAGCTATGCATGGCTAACTACAATGACAAAACTATTTTCAGAAAACAGACGAAATCCCCGACGTCGCATTCAGCATCACCAAGTCGTCCCCGTCTACTGCACGTTGACTTCAACCACGATGATTTCAGGTGCCAAGGAAGACACCCCTGTCTTTCAATACGTGGTCCCCCGATGAATCATCAAGAATAGACGACCTGATACCTTGTTAGGCTAGTAGGTCCCGATATCTTTACTAATCTGTAAACGATGTCCTGCATAAACATTTACACAGTTCGTAAGTAAAATATACGCATAAAATGTCTGAATTTGACAGAACTGGTATTGAAATGGTTGCCTTACTCAGTAATGAAATTGTTGAAGGGTGACACGGGCACAGACACACACAGACACACACACAAATGGTGATTTGCCAAGTCATCCATTTTTTTAATACAGATAACTGTCGGCGTGAAACATCAACAATCACTCACTACGAATCAAAACAAGGCAATATGAGTAAATATATATCGAAATGTCATAATATAAGAAAATAGTTGTATTTATGTGTGACTTATTATAATTGTATATAAATAATTATCTCAGGTAACTGAAACTAAAATGTATCCATATATGGCTTACAATTCATAGCATTTCGTTTCAATGTTCAATTTCCATCATCTTCCTTCCTTTCATATTTCTGTATACATGAATATATATGTCAGCGTGGTTTATTTTAAGATGTTTAATAGTGAAATATATTCTGCATACGGAACTGTAAAAAGACAATTCAATTTTTCAAAAGCGCCTCAAGTGACACGACATATCATGAAATAATCCCCTATAATCAGTCACAGACTTTCGGCAATTGACACCGGTACCGAATTCTCTTAAGATATATTATAAATAATTTACCTATAATTAAACGAGTAAATAATATTTACCACATGATATGAAAATAAGTTTCTACCTTTAATTATCTTTCTAAACATTGTTAGTCATCTCACCATCACAATGATGATAAAATTAAGGAACACTGTTCCGCGACTGTCGGGAAGTAGAGTTCACATAACATTGATCACAAGAATAATGAGATTGTTACCTGTCTTTCTTCCCAAAGAGATGATTCACTGTCTTTGCACAGAAGTACTAAATAAACCAACACGCCTTCAATGTCATATAATTATCCCACTGAATCAATGACTTCAACGTATACCGGATTCTCTGTAATACATATTTAATATTTGCCATAAGCCAGATCAATCCCTCCCGCAGTTTTGTTCTTGGGGTGACCAAAACAACTGTTTATGAACATCAACTGTGTAAGAGGATACGCGAATGTGAGTTTAGTTATCAGGTCATGTGGTTGACATATGTACACACAGAAATATGTACAGGTACATTTTATAGCTCCACAAATGTATACCCAGTCCAACGTGAACAGTAATTTGTTTTGTATGGTGAAATAGGCGTAACGCTGAGATAAATGGATTAACGTATTTCTTTGCCAAGGTACAACAGCTTCATCTCGGCTTATCTCAATTCGCTTTTTGATGGAGTCAGACTCTTGTCGCAGTTTGAAGTCACGGTCTGCGGGTCCAGTCAGATCGTCAATGAGAATTATTCGAGGGGTGGCAATGCCGCAGTGAACGCCTAACTGCGGACTAAATACCACAAAACACGATGGTGGATAATCATAGTATTTACAAGCACTGAGGCACTGCGTGTCATATGTCACAATATCATTAGTCATGGACATATATGTACCGAGTAATATAGACATGTGTTCATTTCACTCAATCACAGGCGCTTCACCTTACTTGCAACACAGCCACTTTGTCAGATGAAACTACTTCTATATAAGGAAATTAAGAATAATGCTGACAATTCCAGCACCCAGACAACGGTCGCGAGCATGCACATCTGAAATGAGCAACGCAGGCGTAGGTTACACGCCAAGAAAGGTGGGGGTATAAAACAAATCATGTATTTGTAGAATGAAATGCAGTAGTGATACTTCGGTATAAAGATTTCAGAAATTAAAAAGACACTAGTTATTACATGCAACACGCAACAATGCAATTACCGGTGATAACAACACACATGCTTGTATGTTTGAGTTGTGAATCACATTACTCTACATATACACTATTGGAATTGAATTTGAATCACATGATAGTTTTAAGACTTTCATCGTCGAGAGCGGTGAATGTATTTCGATTCACTGCAGAACCAAACATCAATGAAGCTACATCCTAAACCTGGCGGAAACATGTATATTGTTGTTCTGCAAATACATGCATCTGCAAAAAGTACATCGCTCGAAGTATCATGTTCAACCAATAAACAATAGCGGAGATACTGTTTCATTAATATTTACTTCAAGAATGACAATTCAAAATCTTGTACGTGTTTAACGTATACACGATCAGGATAAACTAGGGTGAGTCAGCTGACTTCTCAATCCAAGACTTCACACGCACTTAACACGCTGCTTTCTGAACGACAGCATTCTAAACATCGGTTGTGCAATAACTGTCTAAATTCATATGTCTAAACAATAGCATAACTGTCACATCTAGTCCCATCAAATACCTCTCGACAATTTGTATATCTCCTTCAAACCCACAAAAAACACAGAACTGGGTGTATTGTAGGCCAGAAGCGCGTAACAATCAAACAAGTTTCATAACATGATGTCAGATCCAGTACACTGAATCAGGATAGAACAGATAAATGATGTCAAATCAAGTAGCCGGATAGGACAGATGAATGATGTCAGATACAGTACCCGGCGTGGACAGATAAATGATGTCGGATACAGTGCCCGGAGTGGACAGATAAATGATGTCGGATACAGTACCCGGAGTGGACAGATAAATGATATCGGATACAGTACCCGGAGTGGACAGATAAATGATGTCGGATTCAGTACCCAGAGAAGAGAGATAAATGACATCAGATACAGTAACCGGAGTGGACAGATAAATTATGTCGGATTAAGTACCCAGAGAAGAGAGATAAATGACATCAGATACAGAAACTGGAGTGGACAGATAAATAATGTCGGATACAGTACCCAGAGAAGAGAGATAAATGATGTCAGATACAGTACCCAGAGTGGACAGATAAATGATGTCGGACACAGTACCCAGAGAAGAGAGATAAATGATATCAGATACAGTACCCGGAGTGGACAGATAAATAATGTCAGATACAGTACCCAGAGAAGAGAGATAAATGATGTCAGATACAGTACCCGGAGTTGACAGATAAATGATGTTGGATACAGTAACCGGAGCAGACAGATAAATGATGTCAGATACAGTACCCAGAGCAGACACATAAATAATATCGGATACAGTGCCCGGGTAGAACAGATAAATAATGTTAGATACAGTACCCGGGTAGAACAGATAAATGATGTCATTTCCAGTACACGGTTAGAACAGATAAATGATGTCCCATCAAGTACCCGGGTAGAGCAGATAAATGATGTCAGATCCAGTACTCGGGTAGAGCAGATAAATGATGTCAGATCCAGTACCCGGGTAGAACAGATAAATGATGTCCCATCCAGTACCCGGTTAGAGCAGACAAATGATGTTAGATCCAGTACCCGGGTAGAACAGATAAATGATGTCACTTCAAGTAACCGGCTAGAACAGATAAATGATCTCACATCCAGTATCCGGGTAGAACAGATAAATGATGTCAGATCCAGTACCCGAGAAGAACAGATAAATGATGTAACTTCCAGTACGCGGTTAGAGAGCAGATAAATGATGTCACTTCCAGTACGAGGTTAGAGCAGATAAATGATGTCACTTCCAGTACACGGTTAGAGCAGATAAATGATGTCACTTCCAGTACCAGGGTAGAACAGATAAATGATCTCAGATCCAGTACCCAGGTAGAACAGATAAATGATGTCAGATCCAGTACCCGGGTAGAACAGATCAATGATGTCACTTCAAGTAACCGGCTAGAACAGATAAATGATGTCAGATCCAGTACCCGGGTAGAACAGATAAATCATGTAACTTCCAGTATGCGGTTAGAGCAGATAAATGATGTCACTTCCAGTACCCGGGTAGAATAGATAAATGATCTCAGATACAGTACCCGGGTAGAACAGATAAAAGATGTTAGATACAGTACCCGGGTAGAACAGATAAATGATGTCATTTCCAGTACACGTTTAGAGCAGATAAATGATGTCAGATCCAGTACCCGATTAGAGCAGATAAATGATGTCAGATCCAGTACCCGGGTAGAACAGATAAATGACGTCAGATCCAGTACCCGGGTAGAACAGATAAATGATGTCAGATCCAGTACCCGGGTAGAACAGATAAATGATGTCACATCCAGGACCCGGGTAGAACAGATAAATGATGTCAGATCCAGTACCCGGGTAGAACAGATAAATGATGTCAGATCGAGTACCCGGGTAGAACAGATAAATGATGTCACTTCAAGTACCCGGCTAGAACAGATAAATGATGTTAGATACAGTACCCAGGTAGAACAGATAAATGATGTCATTTCCAGTACACGGTTAGAGCAGACAAATGATGTCAGATCCAGTACCCCGTTAGAGCAGATAAATGATGTCAGATCCAGTACCCGGGTAGAGCAGATAAATGATGTCAGATCCAGTACCCAGGTAGAACAGATAAATGATGTCACATCCAGTACCCGGGTAGAACAGATAAATGATGTCAGATCCAGTACCCGGGAAGAACAGATTAATGATGTAGCTTCCAGTATGCGGTTAGAGCAGATAAATGATGTCACTTCCAGTACAAGGGTAGAACAGATAATCGATCTCAGATACAGTACCCGGGTAGAACAGATAAATGATGTCATATCCAGTACCCGGGTAGAACAGATAAATGATGTCAGATCCATTACCCGGGTAGAACAGATAAATGATGTCACATCCAGGACCCGGGTAGAACAGATAAATGATGTCAGATCCAGTACCCGGTTAGAGCAGATAAATGATGTCAGATCCAGTACCCAGGTAGAACAGATAAATGAAGTCACTTCAAGTACCCGGCTAGAACAGATAAATGATGTTAGATACAGTACCCGGGTAGAGCAGATAAATGATGTAACTTCCAGTATGCAGTTAGAGCAGATAAATGATGTCACTTCCAGTACCCGGGTACAACAGATAAATGATCTCAGATACAGTACCCGGGTAGAACAGATAAATGATGTCACTTCCAGTACCTGGGTAGAACAGTTAATTAAAGTTAGATCCAGTGCCCGGGTAGAGCAGATAAACGATGTCACTACCAGTACCTAGGTTAGAGCAGATAAATGATGTCAGATCCAGTACACGGGTAGAACAGATAAATGATGTCAGATCCAGTACCCGGTTAGAACAGATAAATGATGTCATTTCCAGTACCCAGGGAGAACAGATAAAAGATGTCACTTCCAGTACCTGGTTAGAGCAGATAAATGATGTTAAATCCAGTACCCGGGTAGAACAGACAAATGATGTCAGATCAAGTACCCGGGTAGAACAGATAAATGATGTTAGAAAGAGTACCCGGGTAGAACAGATAAATGATGTCATTTCCAGTACGCGGTTAGAGCAGATAAATGATGTCATTTCCAGCACCCATGTAGAACAGATAAAAGATGTCACTTCCAGTATCAATGTAGAACAGATAAATGATGTCAGATCCAGTACCCGGGTAGAACAGATAAAAGATGTCACTTCCAGTACCTGGTTAGAGCAGATAAATGATGTTAAATCCAGTACCCGGGTAGAACAGACAAATGATGTCAGATCAAGTACCCGGGTAGAAGAGATAAATGATGTTAGAAACAGTACCCGGGTAGAACAGATAAATGATGTCATTTCCAGTATGCGGTTAGAGGAGATAAATGATGTCATTTCCAGCACCCATGTAGAACAGATAAAAGATGTCACTTCCAGTATCAATGTAGAACAGATAAATGATGTCAGATCCAGTACCCGGGTAGAACAGATAAAAGATGTCACTTCCAGTACCCATGTAGAAGAGATAAATGATGTCAGATCAAGTACCCGGGTAGAATAGATAAATGATGTCAGATACAGTACCCGGGTAGAACATATAAATAATGTTAGATCTAGTACACGGGTAGAACAGATAAATGATGTCAGATCGAGTACCCGGTTAGAACAGATAAATGATGTCATTTCCAGTACCCTGTTAGAGCAGATAAATGATGACAGATCCAGTACCCATTTAGAGCAGATAAATGATGTCAGATACAGTACCCGGGTAGAACAGATAAATGATGTCCCATCCAGTATCCGGGTAGAACAGATAAATCATGTCAGATCCAGTACCCGGGTAGAACAGATAAATGATGTAACTTCCAGTACGCGGTTGGAGCAGATAAATGATGTCACTTCCAGTACCTGGGTAGAGCAGATAAATGATGTCACTTCAAGTACAAGGGTAGAACGGATAATTGATCTCAGATACAGTACCCGGGTAGAACAGATAAACAATGTCAGATCCAGTACCCGGGTAGAACAGATAAATGATGTCAGATCCAGTACCCAGGTAGAACAGATAAATGATGTCACATCCAGGACCCGGGTAGAACAGATAAATGATGTCAGATCCAGTACCCAGGTAGAACAGATAAATGATGTCAGATCCAGTACCCAGGTAGAACAGATAAATGAAGTCACTTCAAGTACCCGGCTAGAACAGATAAATGATCTCAGATACAGTACCCGGGTAGAGCAGATAAATGATGTCACTTCCAGTATGCGGTTAGAGCAGATAAATGATGTCACTTCCAGTACCTGGGTACAACAGATAAATAATCTCAGATACAGCACCCGGGTAGACCAGATACATGATGTCAGATCCAGTACCCGGGTAGAACAGATAAATGATGTCACTTCCAGTACGTGGGTAGAACAGTTGATTAAAGTTAGATCCAGTGCCCGGGTACAGCAGATAAACGATGTCACTTCCAGTACCTAGGTTAGAGCAGATAAATGATGTCAGATCCATTACACGGGTAGAACAGATAAATGATGTCACATCCAGGACCCGGGGAGAACAGATAAATGATGTCACTTCAAGTAACCGGCTAGAACAGATAAATGATGTCAGATCCAGTACCCGGGTAGAACAGATAAATCATGTAACTTCCAGTATGCGGTGAGAGCAGATAAATGATGTCACTTCCAGTACCCGGGTAGAATAGATAAATAATCTTAGATACAGTACCCGGGTAGAGCAGATAAATGATGTCAGATCCAGTACCCGGTTAGAGCAGATAAATGATGTCAGATCCAGTACATGGTTAGAGCAGATAAATGATGTCAGATCCAGTACACGGGTAGAACAGATAAATGACGTAAGACCCAGTACCCAGGTAGAACAGATAAATGATGTCAGATCCAGTACCCGGGTAGAACAGATAAATGATGTCAGATCGAGTACCCGGGTAGAACAGGTAAATGATGTCACTTCAAGTACCCGGGTAGAACAGATGAATGATGTTAGATACAGTACCCGCGTAGAACAGATAAATGATCTCAGATCCAGTACGCGGTTAGAGCAGATAAATGATGTCAGATCCAGTACTCGGGTAGAGCAGATAAATGATGTCAGATCCAGTACCCGGGTAGAACAGATAAATCATGTAACTTCCAGTACCCGGGTAGAACAGATAAATGATGTCAGATCCAGTACCCGGGTAGAACAGATAAATGATGTCAGATCCAGTACCCGGTTAGTGCAGACAAATGATGTTAGATCCAGTACCCGGGTAGAACAGATAAATGATGTCACTTCAAGTAACCGGCTAGAACAGATAAATGATGTCACATCCAGTATCCGGGTAGAACGGATAAATGATGTCACATCCAGTATCCGGGTAGAACAGATAAATGATGTCAGATCCAGTACCCGGGAAGAACAGATAAATGATGTAACTTCCAGTACGCAGTTAGAGAGCAGATAAATGATGTCACTTCCAGTACGAGGTTAGAGCAGATAAATGATGTCACTTCCAGTACACGGTTAGAGCAGATAAATGATGTCACTTCCAGTACCAGGGTAGAACAGATAAATGATCTCAGATCCAGTACCCAGGTAGAACAGATCAATGATGTCACTTCAAGTAACCGGCTAGAACAGATAAATGATGTCAGATCCAGTACCCGGGTAGAACAGATTAATCATGTAACTTCCAGTATGCGGTTAGAGCAGATAAATGATGTCACTTCCAGTACCCGGGTAGAATAGATAAATGATCTCAGATACAGTACCCGGGTAGAACAGATAAAAGATGTTAGAAACGGTACCCGGGTAGAACAGATAAATGATGTCATTTCCAGTACACGTATAGAGCAGATAAATGATGTCAGATCCAGTACCCGATTAGAGCAGATAAATGATGTCAGATCCAGTACCCCGGTAGAACAGATAAATGATGTCAGATCCAGTACACGGTTAGAGCAGATAAATGATGTCAGATCCAGTACCCCGTTAGAGCAGATAAATGATGTCAGATCCAGTACCCGGGTAGAGCAGATAAATGATGTCAGATCCAGTACCCAGGTAGAACAGATAAATGATGTTACATCCAGTACCCGGGTAGAACAGATAAATGATGTCAGATCCAGTACCCGGGAAGAACAGATAAATGATGTAGCTTCCAGTACGCGGTTAGAGCAGATAAATGATGTCACTTCCAGTACAAGGGTAGAACAGATAATTGATCTCAGAAACAGTACCCGGGTAGAACAGATAAATGATGTCATATCCAGTACCCGGGTAGAACAGAAAAATGATGTCAGATCCAGTACCCGGGTAGAACAGATAAATGATGTCAGATCCAGTACCCGGGAAGAACAGATAAATGATGTAGCTTCCAGTACGCGGTTAGAGCAGATAAATGATGTCACTTCCAGTACAAGGGTAGAACAGATAATTGATCTCAGATCCAGTACCCGGGTAGAACAGATAAATGACGTAAGACCCAGTACCCAGGTAGAACAGATAAATGATGTCAGATCCAGTACCCGGGTAGAACAGATAAATGATGTCAGATCGAGTACCCGGGTAGAACAGGTAAATGATGTCACTTCAAGTACCCGGGTAGAACAGATGAATGATGTTAGATACAGTACCCGCGTAGAACAGATAAATGATCTCAGATCCAGTACGCGGTTAGAGCAGATAAATGATGTCAGATCCAGTACTCGGGTAGAGCAGATAAATGATGTCAGATCCAGTACCCGGGTAGAACAGATAAATGATGTCCCATCCAGTACCCGGGTAGAACAGATAAATGATGTCAGATCCAGTACCCGGGTAGAACAGATAAATGATGTCAGATCCAGTACCCGGTTAGTGCAGACAAATGATGTTAGATCCAGTACCCGGGTAGAACAGATAAATGATGTCACTTCAAGTAACCGGCTAGAACAGATAAATGATGTCACATCCAGTATCCGGGTAGAACGGATAAATGATGTCACATCCAGTATCCGGGTAGAACAGATAAATGATGTCAGATCCAGTACCCGGGAAGAACAGATAAATGATGTAACTTCCAGTATGCAGTTAGAGAGCAGATAAATGATGTCACTTCCAGTACGAGGTTAGAGCAGATAAATGATGTCACTTCCAGTACACGGTTAGAGCAGATAAATGATGTCACTTCCAGTACCAGGGTAGAACAGATAAATGATCTCAGATCCAGTACCCAGGTAGAACAGATAAATGATGTCAGATCCAGTACCCGGGTAGAACAGATCAATGATGTCACTTC